TTGTGATGATGAGTTTTGCTAATTGTTCTTACTTGGTTTGTAGCATTTTGTTGGTGGGAAATGCGGAGGTCTGCTCTATCAGTTCTCTTCATGAGACAGGTAGAAAGTGGGGCGTGGTCACCAAAGTTCTATTACAAGGGTTTCATTAGTCCAGAATCTGGTCCATGGTATTGACTCCACATCGGAGTCCCATTAATAGAGTTTCTTATTATTAGATATTTTCATACAGTTTTTAAAGGATAATTTCTGTGATTATAATCTCCTGTTTTCTTTTAGTACTCTTGATAAACAGATTATTTAACCTTTTCTCTTTCTTTCTATCTTTGTTCAATAATATTACATTCTGGGAGAAGCCCAGCTAATGAATAATAAGAAAAGTTGGTGGGAAAGGTTAAAAATAATTTTGGAATATAGAATGTTTAATAATACTTAATATTTCTTAAAACAGCTATCCTAAAACGATTGCTATAGTTGATACAGAATCAACGCTTGATAATTAATTAATTGAACATTTTGGAATATCCTTGAACCTCTGTTGCTGTTTCATAAAACAAATATTTTTAAAAATAATTATTTTATTTAACTTGATTTATTTTAATTTAACTAGAGAGGGGCAGAGTGAGCTGGAAGGAGGGGAGTGAGAAAGCAAGTCGCAGGTCTGGGACTTAAACTGCAGTTGGCCATGTAGGAGTCCAGCGCTTTCAACCACAGTGCCACCTCCTGGCCCGTCATGAAACAACTTTAATCTCTAAAATTTTTATCATTCTGTTTTGTACCCTAGATTTATTTTGAGGGATTCTTTTTTTTCTTTAATCTAGTTAAGTAAAAGTTCTAGAAGTTTCTCAGGCCCATTTTACAATGGATAATATGAGCTCTCACAGAGGTGTTTATTCTTCTAAGAGGGATTTTGGAAAGAGAGGAGTAGCAACCCCAACAGGGTCCTGAGGCCACGACCCACTCCTGTCCCTGGCCTCAGCCAGCCCAGGTCATAGGCATATGCATGCTTGGCATACGTAGGGAGGTCTCCAGACTTGAACCTGGGGTATTCCCATATGTAGGTCAGCATCTCAAGAGCATCGCACTATACCTCTGTCCTACCATCTAGCTGGCTGGGTTTTTTTTTGGAGAGATTTTCACTGTAGGGCGTGTGCGCTCGCCAGACAGACAGAGAGAGACATAGAGACAGAAAGTGAGAAATCACCCCCCAGGGGGGATGGTCACGCCGTAATCCCTTCTCCTCCATTCTCCTCTCGGGTAGCTGGCTGGCTTTTAAAATGTATTCTTGGATTAATGTCAAAGATAATATAAAACTTTACTTTTTATTCACTCCTTTCTATCTTTTGTTTTCTTTAAGATTTTTTTTTTGAGAGGTTTTTCACTATAGGGCGAGTGCGCTTGCCAGACAGACAGAGAGAGACAGAGAGACAGAAAGTGAGAAATCACCCCCCAGAGGGGATGGCCACGCTGCAATCCCTTCTCCTCCATTCTCCTCTTGGGATCTTGGGCACGCACGCACACGCACCCGGCGTGGGTTTTAAGCCACCGGGTCCTGGACGTGAACCACGGTCGACTACGTGGGAGTCCAGTGACATAGCCATTACGCTAACTGCTGGTTCCCTGTTTTCTTTAAGATTTTTAAAAAGTAAGAAAGAATATAATGCTGTCTAGGAGTTTGAAATATTGATTCAAATAATTTTGATTGTAATAGTTATTTAGTTTATAACTCGCTTGCTTTCTGATATGTGGATTATGAGAGTGCTGATATTAGGGAAATTTCCTATTACAACTCGTTCTTTGATATTCTCTATAATTTTTACAAACATTTTTTTGTTGGCTAAAGAAGATACATTCTAGCCTATGCATATATTTTTTCAATGCCAAATGTCCCTCATTAATTATGTAATTGTAACAGATGGGATTGAAGGGTTCACTTAAATGCATTTAGTGTTTTATTTACCTTCTTTTATTTCCTGATACTGTTATGTGATTTTGTAAATTAGTATGTTGGCTGTAGTCAATACTTTTTATAGTAGTTTAGCTAATGTCATAGTCAATTTATTATTGCAGATATGATTAAGAGAACATTGGTGTTTCCAAAATGATATAAAAGTTGGGAAAAGCCTCAGCTTAAACTGTTTTTTCCTTATACATTTAAGTGAAACATATTTTATTTGCCAAAGTTTTTTTTTTTTAACATAAGAGGCTTCTGTACAATTTGCCATATGGTATCAAAATAAGAAAGCCTATATTGTACCAACTTAGCAGAAATTATTGTTATGTTAATGAGTTATAAAATTTATGCAGCAGGCTGATTTTAGTTTCTTCCCTTGATATTTTCTTGGACTGTCAGTAGGATACTTGGACAGCCTCAGTGTCACTGTGGTTAATCTGTGGTCTATTAATACACCAGACATACTTAGTACCTTTGGGAGTTATAGAAACAACCAGTTTCGAAAAAGCTTATTAAATATACTTTATCAACGAAGAGGAATGAGTATTTCTTTACTTCTGTTCTTCTGACTTTTTAATGCAGTAATCACCCTGGAGTACAGAAATAGAACTGCAATGCGTATTAGTCTGTGCACTTGTGAACATCATATAAAACTAAGACGCCACATACACAGCACGAGGCTACAGCCATCTGCTGACTTGCACTCAGCGCAAGTACGAGAGACACATCAAGGGTCACTGAGCTTTCTTATGTGGTCCATCAAGAGAGTTTGAGGGATGTGATAAATTTGTGCCTTAACTGTTGAAAATAATTGGTTTAAACACGGCTGTGTTCTCTGATTAGTGGAATATGGAATCAGGGTAGTACCGTGTGAAGGCAGAGTAATGTTCCTGGAGTCCTGGGTCCCTGTTACATAAGGCTGTTCGGGAGCTGCATTTACAAACGAAGTGACTGGAGCAAAGTCCATTTGGTATCAGTACAGACATCTGCTTCGGGGCTTCTCTGTGCCAGGCAGCATTTCTGGTGCCGTGGGTACGAGGACAGTCCAGTCTAGTATCTCTGCAGTAGGCATTTGGACTAGGATGAAAAAAGAAATAATTACCATGTAGTGGCCTAAACGCCGGACTGTAAGTGTGCACGAGATAGTTACGAGGTGGATGAGACATCTGTGTGCAGAGCTTATACTGTACAGTGCAGCGCCACCCAGCAGAGGCTTCAGAAACACACCGATATCCAGAAACTGACTTGGCGGGTGAGGAAGAGTCTATTATAGTCTAAGGGCAAATTGAAAACAAACAAAATATAACCCAGAGCATCTTAACCTTTTATTATTTTATTAAGTTTATTTATTTCCTAAGGGGAAGGGCACCCTCCGGCTGAGGTGGCCCGTGTGGACCTGGCACCTTCCCACATGGTCTCCATTGTCGCGCCCCTGCTGCCTTTACCTGGCATTTTAGTAATTTGTACTGGTTTATGAATTCTATTGCTCTCAACTTCCCTGTTGTTTGTTTGGAACTTATTTTTTTTTTTGCTTTTACCACTTGCAAGGAGGTGGAGTAGGTAGAAGGAGGAAAGGGGCAAAGATACCTGGATAGCATAATTTTTCTTCAGATTCCCAGCTTTTGTAAAGAAATTTGAATCTCACTGTTACAGGGAGGTTATGTAGATTTATATGTGTGCCTTTAGCCATGTAATTGTCCTTATTTACTTATTTTATGATTGATTAGTTTATTTCACATTGATTTTAAGGCATAGTAAAAATATAGTAGTAGGTCTTTTATGTATTTCTGTTGTCTGTTTTTTTTTTTTTTTGAAGAGGTTTTTGCTATAGGGCGCATGTGTTCACCAGACAGATAAAGAGAGACAGAGAGACAGAAAGCTAGAAATCACCCCCCAGGGAGGATGGCCACGCCAGAATCCCTTCTCCTCCATTCTCCTCTCGGGATCTTGGGCATGCACGCACACGCGCCCGTCATGAGTTTCATGCACGCACACACGCGCCCGTCATGAGTTTTAAGCCACCGGGTCCGGGACACGAACCACAGTCGACTGCGTGGGAGTCCAGTGACATAGCCATTACGCTAACTGCTGGTCTCCCTCTGTTGTCTGTTTTGATAGAGTTTTTAAATAGCTAAAATAACCTTCAACTATACATATATTAAATAGTGTATATTTAGTATTTTCTCTTTTTTAAATTTTTTACTCCTTAGTTTTTTTTTTTTTTTTTTTTTTTTTTGAGAGATTTTCGCTATAGGGCGCATGCGCTTGCCAGACAGACAGAGAGAGACATAGAGACAGAAAGCGAGAAATCACCCCCCAGGGGGGATGGTCACGCCGCAATCCCTTCTCCTCCATTCTCCTCTCGGGATCGTGGGCACGCTCGCACATGCGCCCGGCGTGAGTTTTAAGCCACCAGGTCCGGGACGCAAACCACGGTCGACTACGTGGGAGTCCAGAGACATAGCCATTACGCTAACTGCTGGTTCCCCTCCTTAGTTTTTGATGAAGTGGGTAGGAAAAAAGGGAAATGCTAGCTTCTCAATTTGGAAGGATGAATTGGTGATATGTCAAGCACTGAATTGAGTATCTTAGGTTTTATTATTCTTAATTCCTAAAAAAAAATTTAAAGATATTTTTGCCATAGGGCATGTGCACCTGCCAGAGAGAGAGAGGGAGGGTGAGAAAGTGAGAAATAATCCCCCCCATCTGGTCCCGGCAGAATGGCCACAAGGCAGTCCCTTCTCCTCTACTCTTCCCTTGAGATTCTGGGGACACACATGTATCCAGTGTGTTTTCAGGCCACCGGGTCACGACTCAAACTACAGAATCGGCTATGTGGGATCCAGTTGCCTTAACCTCCCTGCCACCTACTAGCGCAAGTTTTATTATTTTTATTTGCTTGACTACTTAGTATTTTGTATGTTCAATTGTGTTAGTAATGTATAAAGAGGTTTTTGGTTTGTGTGTTTTTAGTATGTCTCTAGCTCTCCTTTTGAATATTCCTTTCTAAGGTTTTATCTAGCGATTTTTCTCTTTTACTCTCTCTCAGCGATGTGCATTTTGCAAGCACCTTGGAGCCACTATCAAATGCTGTGAAGAAAAGTGCACCCAGATGTACCATTACCCATGTGCCGCGGGGGCCGGCACCTTCCAAGACTTCAGTCACTTCTTCCTGCTTTGTCCAGAGCACATTGACCAAGCCCCGGAAAGAGGTCAGTTCACCACAGAGGAATTTTCACAGTCTATCAAGGTGTTTACTAAAAATAACAAATGGAAATTCTCTGGCTGTTGCTCTAATGAATTAAATGATATTGTTTGAGGTATGTGGGGGGAAATTCGTTAACATCAATTTTATTGAACTTAAGTCCAAAAAGTTATTTCCTTAGAGGTTTAGAGATAGTTTGCATGATAGTTTACTCTTAATTTTATAAAAAAATTTTAGAAGGAGATTTTTGCTATAGGGCAGATGCACTTGCCAGAGAGACAGAAAGTGAGAAATCACCCCCCAGGGGGATGGTTATGCCATAGTCCCTTCTCCATTTTCATTTTGGGATCTTGGGCATGCACACAGATTTGCCTGGCGTGAGTTTTAAGCCACCAGGTTCAGGACTTGAACTGCTGTTGACTATGTAGGAGTCCAGCATACGACAACCATTAAGACATCTGCTGGTCCCTAAAATTAAAAACGAAACAAAACAAAACACTATAGAAATATAGAAATACTGAGTATACAGTATTTCTAATATGTACTATAAAGTAATTCATTAAAATTTTAGAATTCAGTGTCTTTTACACTAAAAATACCTCCCAGTTGGAGAATACAAGAGCACTCACTCAGGTGCTATGTCAAGGTGCACCTTTATGGTGTGCCAGACACCACTGTGGTCGGAGACCACGCAGCCCCGATGGCCGCGGCAGAGGTCTGGCGGTGCCTCTCTAGGGCTCATCTGTGTCAGCTGTCCATCATACACACTCATGCTTTTTCATTCATTCCTATCTAAATGGTACTTTATGATTCAGTGAATATGCTTAATGTTTGAAGTGTATTTATATGGGACATAAAATCTTTCCTATTTTATAGAGTTATTTATTTATTTTTGTTTTTATTATTATTTTTAATTCACCAGGGAGAAACAGAGAGAGCAGGAAAGTGAGGAAAGCAAGCTGCCGGGTCTGGGACTCAGACTGCAGTCGGCCATGGGGGAGTCCAGCACCTCAACCCTCATGCCACTACCGGCCCCACTCTTTCTTTCCTATTTTATCATTAAGCAGAGAGTGCCCCTTTTCTTATTATATAGATTTCTAGTGAGCATGTATATTTGGTAACTTCTCCTAGCAAATGGAATTTTTCCTTGTAAAATCTGCATATTTTATTCAGTCTTTTTTTATATTACTGCTTAGTTACCCTTTTATCTGTTTCTTAGCAATGTTGATAAAAGCTTTTTTCCAGGTTATGAATCATGAATATAGCCTCCTCAGGCTTAAACTAATCTCAGATATAGTTAGACTACATGATCATTACTTTTTATCTTTGTGCACTACTGTAATTTCCTCTTTAGTTAAAGTTATTTTGTGTCCACATATGTAATCATATTGCCCTTACTCACGATATAGTCATAAATTATAGGTAAGGCACACTGAAATATCAAATTATGTTTAAGTTCTAATATATACAGGATTTAAAGTTTAAACAGTGTTTTGGATTACACACTGTTAAATCTGGGAGAAAATAGTTATACAGTGCAACTGTACAGGTGTTAGCTATTTAGTGAATTGCTTCAGTAAGTGCATGCACTAAGATGTCAGTCATCAGAGCTGATTATACTCTGCGTAGTATAATATACTTTGGCAGCCAAATAAAGCACTTTTATTCACCCCCTTGTATTCTGTGATGCTTCATGTCTCAGGAAACAACAGTGTACTTCTATCTGAGTATGGTTCTGATGTTGGAAATTTTATTGCTTAATGGCAATGCTACATTTTACTAAAAACTATGTTGTAATAGTGTGTACCCTAGCTTACATGTTAGTAACCATAAATCTGTTTGTAAAATAATGAGTTGTAAGAAATAAGGTGAGATGATTTGCTATCCTTTACATGCCGTTAGTGAAAGGTTCGTGCCGGCAGCCTGAAGCTCCAAGGTACGCTGGAATTACTGGTACTGTGTCTTGTTTCATAAGAGACTGATGGAGACTCACAAAAGCACATGAACAGTAGGGTAAAATACAACTAGAGGTAGGAGATGTACCATGGGAAATACTCATAGAATAATAGCACAGGTCAGGGTGAGACCGATACCCCACATAAATACATACTTCCTAGATCTAACCACATAAAAGCCTCAGACCTTCCTAGCAGTCAACTCGAAGAAGGAAAGATGAACACTTACCAGGCTCATATTATACGTAGTAAGAGTTCACTTGATCCTCAGGCTGGAGGGTAAGTTGACACTGTGTACTGGGGTGAAAACCTGTGCTGAAGTAGCTGCCTTGCACCATCAACAACAACAACAACAAACCCCACCGGGCAATTTCTTTTAACAGCCCTCAAAATAAGCAAGTGTTATAAAACCAAAACCCTGTTGAGTAAATTCTGTTCCTTGGGGATCTTAAATAGTGCAGTGCAAGTCCACAGCTTTCTGCATCTGTCTTCATCCATGGATATAACGTAGAAGACTTTGCAGAGAGGGTATACTGCTGTCTTCATAAAATCTTTGGCTGGTATTTCTAGCCGTCCCAATTGTGTATCATGGTACAAGTTACTTTTAATGTTTTTAAAATGGGGTTATCTTAAATCACAGTATTATTTTGAAGGTTAAATACAGTAATTAATGGAAATCACATAGCAGTGTGCCCTGTATGTAGTCACTGCTTTACGATCTTAGCTGCTATCCACGGCTCGCGGTATGAGGATATATACTGAGTGTGCATACCTAGTGTCACTAGTTGTGTAAGGACAGTAATGTGTTGTGACAGTTGGCTGATTTAGGAGTAAGACTGACATCTTTTTATAATAGTTTAAAAATCTTAAAAAAAAACATTAGGGAAAAAAACCACCCCTACCAATGAGAGTATCCGTGAACATGACAGGGAATTTCACCAGAAAACAATTTTAGGGTGCTCTGTCGTAAACAAACAGTTGGCCCTGGCTCCATTATTTTCAAGATGATGGAAAGATACTGTAACCTGTCTGGAAATTTGACACTGAGTACCCACCTAGCATGCTGATATAACAGATATGCTTCTTCAATAGGAAAGAGGAACAGAAAGGAGCCAGCTTGCGGGATCAGAGGGACTAGCACTTGTAGGAGGGGAAACTGCTGTGCTTGACATGTGAGCCTGGCGTGACTCTGAACAGACAGCTGGCCACTGGAACATGACACAGCACATAGTCCATGAGGTGGTGGCGATGACAGGGTGAGCAGAGAGGCTAGATGGAGTATGCCTTGGACGCCAAGGGAGCAGTTTGGACTTCATCGTCTGCAGTGCAGGGTCCCAGCATGAGATGTTCCAGTTCTTAGTCCACTCCTTGTCTCCCTGCTTGTTCTCTTCCATCACGTAGTTTTAACTCTTTTCACCTCTTTAAGCTTTGAATTTCAGCCTGTTTTGCTTGGTTACCTTTTATCTCTTGAAGTAAGCTCTGCTACTTTCCTATTACCCTAAAATCTGTCATCCCATGACCTTTCTTTCCTTTCTACAGCCAGTTAGGTGAGCCAGCCTCTTTGGATGCCAACAGTAATTTTCAACAGCTGTCATTTTTCTTTATTGACATTCCTTTTGATAGGCGAGTCACTCCACATCGTGTCCTGCCATTGATGGAAGCTGGCAGACAGCAGGGTAATTGTAATGTTGGTGGGAATCAGAGTGCAGTACTAGGTTGATGGTGGAGGTCGGAATGCAGTGCCCATGTGGTGTTGGTGGAGGTCAGAGGGCAGAGCTGGTCAGTGTTGGTGAAGGTCCAGTCGCAATGCCCATGTGGTGTTGGTGGAGGATGGAGGGCAGACTGGTCTGGTGTAGTTGGAGATCAGGGTGCAGAGCCAGTTGGTGTTGGTGGAGGTCAGAGAGCAGAGCCAATCAGTGTTGGTGGTGGTCGGAAGGCACTGCTGGTCTGGGCTTCTTACATACCCGTCTGACAGCCATTGAGCTCCTGTTGCGCCCTCTTGGCCCATGCTTTTATTGGCCTGGACTGTCTAGATGGTCTTAAGCAGTAATTTCACCTTCCAGTTTGACCAAGTGTAAAGATCAGTGATAAGCTCCCTTGGTGTCTTTTCCATGATCCCTTCTGTGTTTATAGCCACCACTTGGGATCTGCCCTCCCAAAGATTCCTCTTTCGTCTCTCCCACTGTTCCGCTGCCATGAGAACTGTCCCCTGCTTCATTTAGCTTCTTAGTTCTGTGCTGCTGGCACTTCCCTGTCCATTTTCGAGTACATGCCGGTATTCCTCACCTTCACTGATTAGCAGCAAAGTTTCTATAGGAGTCAGTATTGGTCATGAATAGTGAATATGACCTGCGCATGCAGATGGAGCTGGATCTACGCCTGTCCTCCCATAAATTAGTTTTAGCTTTAGTCTCTTAGTCTCCTCTGCTTTTCCAATCACTGCAATTAAGAAAGACTTCACTTAGTTGTTTGGTTATTGCTTCAAACCTAAATGTTTCCATGGCTTGCAGACATACATGCACGTATGCTTATCTCTTACTTGACAGCTGCCCAACTATATGGTCTTGTATGTGACCTCCAGAGGGTTAGTATGTGAGCACAAGTCTTTTCTCTCACTGGAGAAAAGGCTGGAAGCAACCTCATTCCTTTGGGAAGTAATGTTTTTCTATCCTTTTCCACATAATATGTAGTAAATGTTTTTGTACTGGATGTGTCACATGCAATTCTCTTTGACTAATACATGGCCATGCTCTGTAGTAATCAAGCAGTGTGACATTAAGAAATGGAGTCTATCACAGAGCAACCCCATCCCTGGGAGGTGATACACCCAGAGCCGTCCTAGTGCACAGGGGCTTTCTTGTTCCAAACAGTGCTGTGCAGTAGAAAGGTAATGAAGCAATGTAAGTCATTTTCATTTTTATAGTAGCCATTTTAAAATGAGTAAAAACAATCATTGAATTAATTTTAATATCGCTTAGTCTGATATATCAAAATATTAATACTTCAGTATCTAGTCAACACTTTTTAAAATAAATGATAATCTCCCCATTACGTCTTTGGATTCCAGTGTGCATTTTATACTTACTGCTCATCTCAGTGGACACAGATTTCGCTAATCGTAGTGACTGATAGCTGCCATGGCACATCTGTGTATCAGAGCAGCATGCTCTGGGGAGTTCCGCAGAAACAATTCACCTTCCCAGGTAAACTGAGCATCTGATAATCAGTTGAGTATTTCCTCCAAGTTCTTAAAGTTTTTAGGGTAGGCCAAAAAAAAAAAAGTCAAAGATTACTTTTTAATTCTACATAGCTTGAAAGGGTACTGACACACTCTCTTATTATTAAGAAAAATAATTTACACAGTGAAATCCTTTCTATTCAAAACAAACAGGGAACCAGCAGTTAGCATAATGGCTATGTTGCTAGACTCCCACGTAGTTGACTGCAGTTCGCGTCCCGGACCCGGTGGCTTAACACTCATGCCGGGCGCGTGTGCGTGCGTGCCCAAGATCCCGAGAGGAGAATGGAGGAGAAGGGATTGCGGCGTGACCATCCCCCCTGGGGGGTGATTTCTCGCTTTCTGTCTCTATGTCTCTGTCTGTCTGGCGAGTGCACACGTCCTATAGTGAAAATCTCTCCAAAAAAAAAAGGAAAGAAAGAAAAAAACCCAAATTTATGACATTTCCATTTTTAGATTAATGACTTATTTTAAATGCCTATGCATTAAAAAGCCATTTAAAAGTGATTTTAGAAGCAAATCCCCACTTAAAAGTCTATCCAATAAGACTTGGTTTGTAGTAGCAAAGTTGAAAAGCTAGGATCCTTGGGACCAGCAGATGGCATAATGGTTACATCCCTGGCCTCCCACGTGGCTGACTGCCATTCAAGCCCTGGGCCTGTGGTTTAAAACTCATGCCAGGCGCGGGCGTGCGTGCCCAAAATCCCAAGAGGAGAATGGAGGAGAAGGAATTGCAACATGGCCGTCCCTCCTGGGGGGTGATTTTTTGCTCTCTCTCTTTTTCTCTCTGGTGAGCACATGTGCCCTATAGCAAAAATCTCTCTCTAAAAAAAGAAAGAAAAAAGAGGAAAAGAAAAGATAGGATCCTTGTCCTTCAAGAGTTCACAGTATCATGTTGTAATTGATTACATAACAGACGTCAGTCTAAGCATATTGGGGAAAAGAATCTTCAGCAACTGAATGAGCATTGGATGTGTGATAGGTGTCCAGGAATATGTGTGAACGGGAAGGGTTACCATGAAGGCACACATCTTCGCAGAGGGGACAGGATCCACAGAAGCACTGGCGTTACCCGGCAGCTGTGGTGGCTGCATCGCAGGTCGTTTGCTATGCCCAGGAAACAGTGAGATTCAGTTAGAATCCGACACTAGATAATTCTAATTTTTTACATTTTAGGTGAAAGAGGAGGCTATATAGATGGCTTTTTATATAAGAAGAACTTAACAGATCTGTATTTGAAAAGACTGCTCTGGATATACAGACTATTTAGCGAAGAGGTCAGAGGGATGATTCCACTAAGAAGATACTGCAGTCATCGAGACAATATAATGGGTTAAAAACAGGAGGAAGAATGAGGTACAGGCAGCTAGACAAGCAAGAGCTGGCCTCTGGTCAAACACCCTGGGTCTGAAAGGAGTTAGGAGTCACCAGTGACACAAAGGTTTCTGACTTTACCCATTCCATTGAGAAAAAAGGAAGAGCTTCTGTGTGTGTGTGTGTGTGTGTGTGTGTGTGTGTGTGTGTGTGTGTGTGTGTTTTAAACATTGTTGGCCCAGCAGGTGGCATGGTGATTAGGGTGCTGGACCCCACGTGGCCAATTCTGTGGTTCTTGTCCTAGACCTGGCAGATTGAAAATCATGCCAGGCTCGTGTGTGTGTGCCCCAAATCCCGAGAGGAAAATAGAGAAGGAAGGATTGCAGTGTGGCCAACACCTCCTCCCCCGGGGTGTGGGGTGATTTTTCAATTCTCCCTCCCAGCACACATACCCTATGGCAAAAATCTAAAATAACAGGAAGCCAGCCAGTAAATATTTTAGGCTCTATGAGCCACAACAGTAACTATCATATAGACTTTTTGTTTTTATTTAGTCCTTTAAAAATAAAAGCTATTCCTAGCTTGAAGGCAATACAAATCAAGGCCCTGGAATCGGGCTGCTGGCTGGACCCCTGACTAATCTTCAAAGGCCAGCTCAGCTCCCATTCATTGGAAGCTGGCGATTGAGGCCACCAAGGAGCCTACGAAACCCAGTTACTCTCCAGACCTCGCCTGTGTGCACGTGCCGCCTTTCAGGGCCAGCCACTGCTACGGGAAAAGGACCCGTGTCTGCGATGGCATCAGATGTCTGAGAGATTTACTGTGCACACTCCCTTCAAGTGACCTTAAACAGTAATGTCAGAAAAGTATTAAATCCTTACACAACAATTGCTTTACTGTTCATTATAGCAAAAGAAGATGCAAACTGTGCGGTGTGCGACAGCCCAGGGGACCTCCTGGATCAGCTCTTCTGCACCACTTGTGGTCAGCACTACCACGGGATGTGTCTGGACATAGCCGTCACTCCACTGAAGCGTGCAGGCTGGCAGTGTCCCGAGTGCAAAGTGTGCCAGAATTGCAAGTAAGTTGTGATTCAACGCGGAGGCGTGTGTTGAGCTTAAGGGCGATCCTGCCGTTGGTGGTAACGGTTTGTACAATAGGATAAAAGTGGTTCATACCATGGTTTTCGAGCTGACTTTATCATGCTTACAAATTACTGGGTGCATATTAACACTTACGTTACTTTGACACGTCTAAACAAAAACTTACCCTAGCAATTTAATTCTCTAGTAGCATAAAAAGCTCACTTAAATTTGACAATTTTTAAATGTGTGGTATTAACAATTTAAGCATTAGGAAAATAAAGCAACTTTTCTTGAGAAGACTGAGAAAGGTTTAATAGGGAAATAGATTAGAACTGTAACTACAGAAACTGAGTTATTGGGGTTAAGTGAGAAAATCAGTGATATGCTTGAATTTGCATTCCAGGAAGACACTTTCTGGTAAGCTTTAATAAAGCCGTGTGCTGTCTGCCGTTAGCCTTCCAGACCTGTTGCCATACCTCCAAGGCAGGCACTGTGTGGCGCTGAAGAGCTTGCAATGGGGTATCTCCCTATGTGTGTTTCATCCCTTGGCCATTTCTCCAGTCTTTTCTGTGATTCTTATTAGCATGACCATGAGCATCTTCAGGAGTCTTCAGACGGTTCACAGGCTGAGTTTTTGTAACCAGGAGGAATTATGCCCAGCACGGCCATGATGTGTCTGCTTTATTGGTTAACTTGGTAGCAGTAAGCATCAATATCTTACAGTCATGTGGAGTAAATAGGGCCACATACCTTTATTTCTTGAAGAAAAGATAAGTATAATGTGAGTAAACATTTGATACCTTCTGTCTGTGCTCAGTTTCTGGGGAAGGAATAAGAGGACTGATGAGTCCTCACCCTCCCATCACGTGTATGGGGGCTAAGAGAACTGAGCTGAGTAGCGCCCGGAGGCCAGCTCACCCATCTGTTCACCTCGTGTAGCCCCACGTCTCACACAGGCGTTCCTCTCCCAGTTCTTCGCGAATTCCCCATGTTATCTCTTCCTCGCCTCTTGAATTACATTTGTCGCATCTGAGAATGATTAATAGCTGAGAATCAAGGCAGAGGTCATACTGGAGGGCCAGGTTCCATTACTTGGGACAGAAGTGTTTAGAGAAAGGTTTTAGATGTTTAACTATAATTCCTAATAATTACTACAAGAGTATCATTCTGAATATGTATTATTCAGCACACCTTGCTTAATGGACATTCTGAGCTCTTGAACCAGCATTACATGAAATTCTCACCTAATCTTTGATGTTATTCCCATGTTATGTACCCAAAACTCAGAGAGCGTAATTACGTCTGAGTCGGTAACAGTTGCACAGTTAGGAAACAGCAGTCTGAATAGAAATATAGATCTAATGCTACATTTGATCCTTATTTTATTCTACGACAGTGCCTTTGCATTCACCATGCCAGGATTTACTCCTCTCCTGCACGGTTAACTCCTCTCTGCACTGTCGTTCCAGCTCTTTCCTCCCAAGAAGAATGGGTATGAGATATTTAAACAGTAAAGTTCAGAGGTTGTCTTGCCTTAACCCCTCCTCCTTTGCAGGAATCCTAAAATGACTAAAGCAAGTTAACAATAGGTGAGCTTTATATTGGGATAATCCTTTAGGGGACCACAGCGGGGGTAAACTGTGTCATTGTTATTATTTTGGACAGAGATGAAACAGATACTGAAATAGATATGAACTAGCAGTTCCCACGACACTCTTTTTTTGATTACTTATGGTACAAGACACAAGTCCAAAGACAAGGCATCATTAATGCTATCTTATTTTTTAGACAATCGGGAGAAGATAGCAAGATGTTAGTGTGTGATACGTGTGACAAAGGGTACCATACTTTTTGTCTTCAACCAGTTATGAAATCAGTACCAACCAATGGCTGGAAATGCAAAGTAAGTTGTTTTTGTTTTGTTTTGCCTTTTCTGAGAAAAATACCCTCTGTATGTTTACATATAGGGCAGACAAATCAGATATCTATTCAAATTTATACATTACCATCAACTTAAATAAGTGCTTTATTGGTGTATAACTGGTATACAACAAAATGCCCATATTTAACATCTATAATCTGACACATGTACACATCCATGAAGCCATCATCTTCAAAATAACAAACAGAGTCACTACCAGCAGGAGTTTCCTGGTACTCTCTCGGTGACCACTTGTAAAACCCTGGTTGTCCACACTCTTCTGTCTTCCCAGGCCTCCTGCTCTCTCTCAGTGTCGATTACGTTCTCTCTCATTTTGTATGAATCCATCATACATTGTGTATTCTTTTTCTGTCCGATGTCTTTAACTCCATGTAATTGTGCTCAGGTTCATCCACATTGTTGTGCACATCACTAAAGATCCCTGCTATTGCTGAGTGGTTGGAGATCCCACAGTGCTTACTGAATCATCTGTTAATGGATGTTTTGGTCATTTAGTTTTAAGCCCTTATAAAGGATACTTGCTATGAGCTTATTAGCTGATATGTGTGTGGTGTGTCACAGGCTAGAAACCCTCGGAAATAGGTAGTATCTTCATATGAGGAAACTGAAACACAGAGATATATTTATTAAATCTATTCATTTAGGGGCCAGCAGGTGGCCTGGTAGTTAAGGGCACTGGACTCCCAGATGGCCGACTGAGGTTCAAGTCCCAGACCTGGTGGCTTGCGTGTGTTCTCTTGCTTTCTCTTTCTCTCTCTCTCTGTCTCTCTCTCTCTCTCTGTCACACACACTTACTCTGTTCCTCACTGGTCAATTTAAATAAAGTTAAATTAAAAAAATAGTAAAACAATTCTTTAAAAACTCTATAATACAGAGGTAGTAGACATTGCAGTTTGATTAGGTAGCTAGGTTCATTAGTTACTTTATATGTACTTATTATTTGTGTCACCTGCATTTATATATGTACTTGTATTAAATATTTGGAACTATATATGCAGCCTCTGGGTCCTCTCTTCTTCATGGTAGTTTCAAATAAGTGATTATTGACTCAAACACTTATTTTTAGATGTCTTCTAATATTTTTCTTGGTTTGAAATTTGCACAAGAGTGACAGATAATTTTCCTCTTTTTTATTGTTTAAGATACCACATTTTCATTTTACCGGTGCCCTTTTAAATACCGATTGACAGTTACTTTTAATTTTTTTTCTAACTAGAAAACAGTTATTCTTTTAATTAATGATACAGTGCTTACTGAATCATCTGTTAATGGATGTTTTGGTCATTTAGTTTTAAGCCCTTATAAAGGATACTTGCTATGAGCTTATTAGCTGATATGTGTGTGGTGTGTCACAGGCTAGAAACCCTCGGAAATAGGTAGTATCTTCATATGAGGAAACTGAAACACAGAGATATATTTATTAAATCTATTCATTTAGGGGCCAGCAGGTGGCCTGGTAGTTAAGGGCACTGGACTCCCAGATGGCCGACTGAGGTTCAAGTCCCAGACCTGGTGGCTTGCGTGTGTTCTCTTGCTTTCTCTTTCTCTCTCTCTCTGTCTCTCTCTCTCTCTCTGTCACACACACTTACTCTGTTCCTCACTGGTCAATTTAAATAAAGTTAAATTAAAAAAATAGTAAAACAATTCTTTAAAAACTCTATAATACAGAGGTAGTAGACATTGCAGTTTGATTAGGTAGCTAGGTTCATTAGTTACTTTATATGTACTTATTATTTGTGTCACCTGCATTTATATATGTACTTGTATTAAATATTTGGAACTATATATGCAGCCTCTGGGTCCTCTCTTCTTCATGGTAGTTTCAAATAAGTGATTATTGACTCAAACACTTATTTTTAGATGTCTTCTAATATTTTTCTTGGTTTGAAATTTGCACAAGAGTGACAGATAATTTTCCTCTTTTTTATTGTTTAAGATACCACATTTTCATTTTACCGGTGCCCTTTTAAATACCGATTGACAGTTACTTTTAATTTTTTTTCTAACTAGAAAACAGTTATTCTTTTAATTAATGATTCGCTCTAGTGTCGGTTCTTGCATCTGCATCCTGGCTGTGACCCTGAGGTGCTCCATGCGCAGCACATTAGGCTTCCCGAGGAGTTCACTGAGGTTTGTTAGTGTCTGTAGACCCAGTTCCACTCACTGGGACAGGGTTTATATAGCACCGTGTGAGCAGTCGCAGATTTTAGAGTATTTACAAGCACAAAATAGTTTGTCTTCAATTCTGCACAGATTTAGTAAAACTAATTTATTTCTTCCTAGAAGAAAGTTAGAAATATTATTTACTATGATCTTTCTTTGTTTTCTAGACAGTTAAATCAATCTTAAAAGTAACTCACGTGGTTCCTTTGAACTTTGTATAGGTAAACTAATATATTCTAGATTTAAGAGGTGGTAAAGGACTAATAGTTAAATAAATTGTCTAAATGTCCTTATTTGTAGAAGCAGAATAGGAACTAAAATTTAGATGTTCTGTCTTAAAATCTGTCTTATTCCAATAGATTGTGGTGTTTCCCTGTGCGGTCATAGTGGACTTACTTACTTAACAGGCCTTTACCTCTTCTTTTTTTTTTTTTTTTTTTGGGGGGGTTTTTGCTATAGGGGGGGCCG